TTGCAAATATGGGATACATATGAGTTCCCAGACATAACCTCTTTTTTTTCCTTTATATGTACGACAAAACTACTCAGTTTTTTTGTTTTTGTTTTTTTTTTTTTTGAGACGGAGTTTCGCTCTTATTACCCAGGCTGGAGTGCAATGGCGCCATCTCGGCTCACCGCAACCTCCGCCTCCTGGGTTCAGGCAATTCTCCTGCCTCAGCCCCCTGAGTAGCTGGGATTACAGGCACGCGCCACCATGCCCAGCTAATTTTTTGTAGTTTTAGTAGAGACGGGGTTTCACCATGTTGACCAGGATGGTCTCGATCTCTTGACCTCGTGATCCACCCACCTCGGCCTCCCAAAGTGCTGGGATTACAGGTGTGAGCCACTGCGCCCGGCCAAAACTACTCAGTTTTAAGGCAAGTTGTTCACACTTCTTAAATCAAGATTCTTATCATTAATTTCAAAAGAAATTCCCTAGCCACCAGGCAAGACTAAGGTTGCAACAGATTTATCACTGCCTCTATTTGCTAGAATTTAGCCAAACTTAAACTCATCAAATTATTATCTCATATTGAGATATTTTTACTACTAGTATTCAGTTCACTGAATTTTAAATTCAATCTGATGTCCTTATATGGAGATTACGTAATTTTAAAATGATGCAATAAAAAATTACCATATATGCAACAAGCATGCAGTATCTCAGCCTATGATTAAACCAATAACCTATCCTATATATGTGCCTCACGAGCTTCCCCTAATATTAACTCCTTGTATAACCACAGTACAAAATTATGAAAACCAGGAATGAATACCAGGCACAATACTATAATTAACTACAGACATTATTAAAATTTCACCAGTTTCCCCACTGATGTCTTTTTTTTTTTAATTATTTTTATTTTTTTTTAAGAGACAGGGTCTTGCTACATTTCACAGGCTGGGGTGCAGTGGCTAAACACAGGCGATATCCCACTACTAATCAGTCCGGGAGTATTTACCTACTCCATTTCTGACCTGGGCTAATTCACCTCTCCTTAGGTAACCTGGTAGTCCCCTGCTTCCAGAAGGTCACCATATTGATGTTGAACTTAATGCAGACATCCGATCTGCACAGTGCACTACAACCCGGAACCCCTGAGTTCAAGCAACTGACACACCTCAGCCTCCTAAGTAGCTGGGACTACAGGCCCACTAATACCTTTCTTCTGTTCCAAAACCTTACCCAGAATCCCACATTGCATTTAGTTGTTATTGCTCCTTAGTCTCCACTAGTCTGTAACAGTTCAGTCTTTGTATCCTTCATGAACCTGACACTATTAAAGAGAACTGATTATTTTGTAGAATGCCCTTGAATTTGGGTTTCTCTGATGTTTTCTCATGACTGGAATGAGATTATACATACATGACAAGAATACCACAGAAATAATGTTACATCCCATTCAGTGAATTGTATCAAGGGGCTCCTGATGTCAACAGTCTTATTACAGGTGATATGAAATTTAGTTTGGTTATGGTGGTATCTACTGGGTTTCTCCACTTTAAAATTAATATTTTTTCCATTTGTACTTAATACAAATTTGAGACTATGCAAAAATCCTGCTTCTCAAGTTTTTGCCCACCAACTTTGGCATCCATCAAAAAAGCTTGTCTGTAATAATTATTATTAGAGATTGAGGCACCAGCCACGTTCACTGCTATCTAAAGCATCAATGCCTCTAGGGCCTCTCAATAGAAAAAGCCATAAATACCACACATGGGCTAGGCGTGGTGGCACATGCCTATAATATCAGTGCTTTGGGAGGCCAAGGATGGAGGAGCACTTGAGGCCAGAAGTTTGACACCAGCCTAAGCAACACAGCATAATCCCATCTCTACAAAAATTAAAAATTAAAAAATTAGCTGGGTATGGTGGTACACACCTATATATAGTCCCAGCAACTTGGGCAGGACTATTTGAACCCAGGAGTTCAAGGTTACAGTCAGCTATATGATTCTGACAGTACACTTCAGCCTAAGCGACAGGGCAAGACCTTGTCTCTTAAAAGAAATAGTTTTTTAAAATAATTAAAACTAAAATACAGTATATGTATACATATTGACCCATACATAAACACATACCTACATTTCTGCATGTATCTGTCAATATTAAATACAATGAGTTCATATCTCTGATTCAAATCCAATACCACAGGATTTTAATTTTAGCCATTCATCTTTCTCTAATAATGAGAAACCTGAGTCTCATTATTCACAATATACAGTCACACCTTGGTATGTGCAGGGGTTTGTTTCCAGAACCTCCCTCAGACACCAGAATCCACGGACGCTCAAGTCCCTGACATATGATGTAATGTTTGCATATAACCTATATACATCCTCCTACACACTTCAAAACATCTCCAGATTACTCATAATATCTAATACAATGAAAAGACTATGTAAATAGTAGTTATGCTGCACTGTTTAGAAAATGACAAGTAAAAAAAGTCTGTTCATGTTAGCATACACACAATTTTTTCCCCAGATAGTATCAATCCACAATTGGCTAAATCCATGGATGTAGAATCCACAGATACAAAAGACTGTATGTACTAATCTGTTTATGTAAGTATACACACAAAGTAGTTTAAGAACAATGAGCTCATACGCCTAACTAGCTTACAGAATTTATGTATGGTTCTTATTACTATTATGATATCCAGTCAAGATACTATTTTCCAGTTATTTAGGTTCCTTGTTTTCTTCCTTATCCCCTTTTAATGTAATTATGTTATTCATCTCCAAGAAAATTCAGTTAATTTATTGTATTTTTTTATCCTATTTTGCAATTCCCCCCTCATATTCTGTTTGGTTTTAATGATTTATTTTTTGCTTACACAAGGGGTAGGTACAATTTCAAAAAGTCTAGCTGTCATGTCTAAATTTAAGAAGAAAAAGCTGGATTCAGGTAAGATTTTATGCTAAGGTAGAGGAGGTTTCCTCATCTTTGTTAAAAGTAGAATAATCTGCCTGGGCATGGTGGCTCACACCTGTAATCCCAGCACTTTGGGAGGCCGAAGCAGGTAGACCACCTGAGGTCAGGAGTTCGAGACCAGCCTGACCAACATGGTGAAGCCCCATCTCCACTAAAAATACAAAATCAGCGTGCTGTGGTGGTGTATGCCTGTAATCCCAACTACTCAGGAGGCTGAGGCAGGAGAATCACTTGAACCCAGGAGGCAAAGGTTACAGTGAGCCAAGATCACACCACTGCACTGGGAAACAAGAGTGAAACTCTGCCTCGGAAAAAACAGCCAGTCACAGTGGCTCATGCCTGTAATCCCAGCACTTTGGGAGACCGAGGTGGGAGGATCACAAGGTCAAGACATCAAAACCATCCTGGCCAACGTGGTAAAACCCCATCACTACTAAAAAATACAAAAATTAGCCAGGCATGGTGGCATGTGCCCGTAGTCTCAGCTATTCAGGAGACTGGGGCAGGAGTGAACCCAGGAGGCACAGATTGCAGAGAGCTGCAATTGCCCCACTGCACTCCAGCTTGGCAACAGAGAGAGACTCCGTGTTAAAAAAAAAAAAAAAAAAAAAGTTTAAGAGATTTGAACATGTTTATATAAAAAGGAAAGAAAAAGAAGTTTTTAAAAAGGTCCCTGAGGAAGGCACATTAATGTTTCAAAGTTGTAAAAAAAAATATAGTGGTTCTCAAGCTTTTAGATATATCTGAATAACCTGGAGGATTCCAGGTGGCTGGGCCCCACCACTATAGTTTCTCATTGAGCAGTTCTACCGGAGGGTTGACACTACATTACTAACAATTATCTAGGTGAATGTTAATGCTGTATGTCCAGGGAATATAATTTTAAAATGAATTGGGTAGAGTAAAATCATATAGAAATATTTATGTATTGATAAACTCAAGTACAAAAATGTGGAAAACAAACATCAAAATATACAGAATATCACCCCTCTGCAGACCATAGAAGCTTCAAATTTGTTCAGGTTTTTCACGTTTTTCTTTACTTTTACGTCTCCATGAGCATCTTACTTTCTTATCACAAGCACTTTTTATTTTTAAAACAAATATTATTTTCAAAAACAGATTTCTAAGTTTGCTTCAACTATCATAGCTTTGTTCACAATATTTCCTAACTAGTATGATTTCTGAACCTTTGAAAAATAATGTTTATACCATTATATTTTGCAATTAAATACCACAGGCACAAGGTGAGTTGTCAATTTGGGTTTAAACATTTTGAATTAACCACTCTCCCAAACATCCTTACTTAAACCTAAAAGATTTTAAGCTGACCATCAAAACTTTTTTTTTTTTTTTTTTTTTTAGATAGAGTCTCACTCTGTAGCCCAGGCTGGAGTGCAGTGGCAAGATCTTGGATCACCACAACCTCTGCCTCCCAGGTTCAAGCGATTCTCCTACCTCAGCCTCCTGAGTAGCTGGGATTACAAGTTCATGCCACCACGCCTGGCTAATTTTTTTATTTTTAGTAGAGACAGGCTTTCACCATGTTCACCAGGCTGGTCTTGAACTCCTGACCTCAGGTGACCTGCCTGCCCACCTCGGCCTCCCAAAGTGCTAGAATTACAGGCATGAGCCATCACCCCCAGCCTCAGAAATCTTTTTTAGACATTATCAGAAACACAAAGATACATAAAGAAATATTCATAGTAGAGTTATACACATGACAAAATAAAAACTAAGAGCAACTCAAATATATCCATTTCTGCAAAAATCGATGTTCACAGCATATCCTTACAATGAATTACTTATAATAACACCTAAAACCCTTAACTTCAAAGTGTTCATATTCAAAGTGCCCTTAACCAGCTAAACTAACAATAGCAAAGAATTATGAAGTAATTCACTGTATGTGGTTAAAATAGGCAATTTTCCTATTTTTTCTGTGACACTCAACTTATACAACTTGTAATCGGTGGTGGGGAGTTTTATTAATAAGACACACATGCATGTTTCTTACAATTATCTTCTTTTACCTTAGTTGTATTTGCTTCCGTTTTTGCAGCTCTTGGTTTCTGAGTTCTTCCAAACGTCTGAGTTCTTCTTGACGCCTCATTAGATCTATAAAATAATGACAGCATATTAATATTTTAGTTTCACTTTCCATATTTTTCCAATACGCACAGAGGTTCGCTATCACTGACAACATACTGATATATTAGTCATCTTATAATAAATTGTAAGCTGAGTAATTAATCAAATAAATATACCTTCTGAGCACATTTCTTCATGTATATAAAAAAAGAGTATTCAAGTTCATTCTTGGTCAGGCGTGATGGCTCACATCTGCAACCCCAGTACTTTAGGAGGCCAAGGAAGGCAGATCATTCGAGGCCAGGAATTCAAGACCAGCGTGACCAACATGGCAAAACCCCAACTCAACCAAAATTACAAAAATTAGCTGGGCATGCGCCTGTAGTCCCAGCTACTCAGAAGGCTGAGGCAGGAGAATCATTTGACCGGGAGGTGGACGATGCAGTGAGTCAAGATTGTACCACTGTACTCCAGCCTGAATGACAGAGCAAGACCCTATCTCAAAAAAAAAAAAAAGAAAAGAAAGAAAAGAAAGGAAGGAAGGGAGGAAGGGAGGGAGGGAGGGAGGGAGGGAGGGAAGGAAAAGTTCATTCTTGTTGGGGGGGAAAAAGCATAATAAAACTCATCTTGGCTTGGCACAGTGGCTCACACTTATAATCCCAGCACTTTGGGAAGCCCAGGTAAGCAACAGAGTGAGTTGACTCCATCTCAAAAAAAAAAAAAAAAAAAAAAAAGTCAAGAAAATAAAATAGGTAGGCTGGCTTGTGCCTGTAATCCCAGCAGTTTGAGAGGCTGAGGCAGGTGGATCACTTCAGCCGAGGAGTTCAACCAGCTGAGCAACATGGTGAAACCCCGTCTCTACTAAAAATACAAAAATTAGCTGGGTATTCACACCTATAATTCCAGATACTCGGGAGGTTGAGGCATGAGAATCACTTGAATATGGGAGCCAGAGGTTGCAGTGAGCCAAGATCATGCCATGCACTCCAGCCAGCCTTCGTAACGGGATAAGACTCTGTCTCCAAAAACAAAACAAAACAAAACAAAACAAAACAAAACAAAACAAAACAAAAAAAGGTGGCCAAGCGTGGTGTCACACGCCTATAGTCCCAGCTACTTGGGCAGCTAAGGTGCAGGACAATCTCTTGGGCACAGGAGGCGAAGGTTGCAGTGAGCCAAGATCGCACCACTGCACTCCAGCCTGAGTTGCATAGCAGAATTGCCTCTAAAATAAAATAAAATAGGTTGTAACTGTTTTAACATAAGAGCTGATACATACTAAAAACAGAATAAATGATAACTATATTAACTCATTTTCGCTTATAATTTTATAACAAATTGTTTTCAGCAGCAAATGCAAAGCCCAAAAACATGCCTTCAGAGATACCAGCAGAGGGCACTTAAGAACCAGACCAGACAAACAGGAATAATGACATAAAACCCAAGGACCATCCCTCGAAACACAATTAGCATGACATTCCTCCCTCACTAAGCCAATGTCTTATGAAGAAGAGTGAAAAATCTTGAAGAAAATAAAGCTAAATGCTGATATAAACAAGGCTTTTCAACAACAAAAAAGCATTTCCACTATCACTAATCCCTGTCATATCAAGAATGGGGGGAGTTCCAGAGCAAGATAATGAAAAGTACATTTGTATTGCACATCTGAGTAGTGTATAAACTTTCCACGTTAAAAATCTCCAAAGCTTCTTTGCTTTTCTTTTCTTTTCTGCCCTTTTCTTTTCCCCACCCTTCCTCCCTCCCTTCCTTCTTTCTCTTTTTCCTTTTTCTTGCTGATTTTATGCAAAGGGCTGGCATTCTGATTGTTCTATTTTCAAGTTTAATTCTTATTTTAATAAAGTTTTCAAGCAAAAAGTAAAAAAAAAAAAAAAATCCTCCAAAGCTAATAATCTTTGTCTATGATTTTGTACAAAACTATGTATATACACATGCATACGTTTTAAAATAATAAAATGTTAAAATACTCTGGATGGCACAATTACTGGTTGTTTTTCCTTTTCTCTTTATATCTGAAATGTCTAAAGTGAACAAATTACCTCAATTGAATGTTTCTTAATAAATCCCTATACTCAAGAGTTGACTGATATAATACTACAGCTAAAGTTAATCTAAGGTACCAATATCCTAAACTTCACAATAGCAAGATACGCATCATAACCATAACAAGGTAAACATAATCCTCCCATTTTACTGATTAGAAACAGACAATCATTTATAAATTATGCAGGAAAAAAAAAGGGATTCAGATAGATTTTTTTTTTTTTTTTTTGAGTCATTGAGTTTCACTCTTGTCCCCCAGGCTGTAATGCAATGGCGTGATCTCAGCTCACCACAACCTCTGCCTCCCAGGTTCACGCAATTCTCCTGCCTCAGCCTCCCAAGTAGCAGGGATTACAGGCATGTGCCACCACACAAGCTAATTTTGTATTTTTAGTAGTGACGGGATTTCTCCATGTCGGTCAGGCTGGTCTCGAACTCCCAACCTTGGGTGATCCACCCACCTTGGCCTCCCAAAGTGCTGGGATTACACACGTGAGCCACCGTGCCCGGTCAGGATTCAGACAGATTTTAAAGTTGCCCCAGCTATTCCATGATTCAACTGGGATGCCAGGCCAAACCCTGTCCTTATTCCAAAGTAAGCCAAATCTAGTTGATCAGACTCACCTGGAAAACCTAAATATATGCATTTGATCTAGGGCCTCAGCCTGAAATAGCAAAAAAAAAAAAATACATATATATATATATATATATATATATATATATATATGCGCATTTGGGGATGTTGCTAAGAAAAGTCTGTTTTGGGCCAGGCTCGGTGACTCATATCTGTAATCCCAGCACTTTGGGAGGCTGAGGCAGGTGGATCATGAGGTTAGGAGTTCTAGACCAGCCAGGCCAACATGGTGAAACCCCCATCTCTATTAAAAATACAAAAATGAGTTGGGTGTTGTGGCGGGCGCCTATAATCCCAGCTACTTGGGAAGCTGAGGCAGGAAAAATGCTTGAAACTAGAAGACAGAGGTTTCAGTGAGCCGAGAAGGCGCCACTGCACTACAGCCTGAGCAAAAGAGCAAAACTCCATTGCAAAAAAAAAAAAAAAGAAAGAAAGTCTGTTCTGGTATATGACACAGGGCCCAAGTAGTTTTGATAATATGCCCATAGAGAAAACATTTATCTTAAAAAATGTTAAACATGACTGCAATTATTTCAAACCTTTGCAACATAAGTCCTCAACCTTAAATGCTCATTAGAATTACTTAAATATCCTTTTTTTTTCTCTCAGAGACAGGGTCTCACTTGTCACCCAGGCTGCAGTGCAGTGGCATGATCACAGCTTGACACAGTATCAAATTCCTAGGTCGTATCAAATTCCTAGGCTCAAGTGATTCCAACTCAGTCTCCCAAACAGCCAGGACTGACAGGCTATACAAGTTAACAAAGCTGCTTTTAACCTCTCAGATCTTATTACCTCATCTGTAACATCGGTATAATCAGCTCAAAAGGCTCCAACAATCAAATTATCAAATAAGCACAATTACCTAATACTTAAAAGAACTATAAACTTAAAACTACTGTTTTATGCTTACTAAATTATGTATGTTTCAAAGTTTCTAATACCCAAAGTTCCTGAAATTTCACTAAAGCTTATACATCTGTACATTACCATGATAATACCCTTCTAGGGAAAAAAACTGTAAAAAGTACATAACTAGAGATGTCTTTATCTTTTGATCCAGGTAATTACACTCAGGAATTTTCCTTAATAAAACAAAGGCATCCACAGACATGAAAGTATCATCTACAGTACTACTTATTACTTACTAGACCAAATAACACTTTGAAATGCTTTCCTGGCTGGGCGCAGTGGCTCACCAAAGTGGGAGGCTGCCTCAGTCTCCCAAAAATAATTCCAGCACTTTGGGAGGCCAAGGTAGGTGGATCACTTGAGGTCAGGAGTTCGAGACCAGCCTGGCCAACACCGCAAAACCGTCTCTCTACTAAAACTGCAAAAATTAGCCAGGCGTGGTGGCTCACACCTGTAGACCCAGCTACTAAGGAGGCTGAGGCAGAAGAATCGCTTGAGCCTGGGAAGCAGAGGCTGCAGTGAGCAGAGATCATGCCAATGCACTCCTGCCTAGGCAACAGAGCAAGATTGTCTCAAATTAATTAATTAATTAAAACGCTGCCAGGCGCGGGCGCTCAAGCCTGTAATCCCAGCACTTTGGGAGGCCGAGGCGGGTGGATCACGAGGTCAAGAGATCGAGACCATCCTGGTCAACATGGTGAAACCCCGTCTCTACTAAAAATACAAAAAATTAGCTGGGCATGCTAATTTTTTAGCATGACGCGTGCCTGTAATCCCAGCTACTCAGGAGGCTGAGGCAGGAGAATTGCCTGAACCCAGGAGGCGGAGGTTGCGGTGAGCCGAGATCACGCCATTGCACTCCAGCCTGGGTAACAAGAGCGAAACTCCGTCTCAAAAAAAAAAAAATAATAAAATAAAATGCTGTCCTAACAAACTTAATGATAAAATTATATGCTATAATTTCAAAGTACCATAAATACAGATACAAAAAAAGGGAATATAGACAAATTAAAATTTTGATTTGCAAGACTGTGAGAAAGTGTTTTCTCAATTTAATATTGCATAAGTCATGAAAACTGAATGTTTAACTTCTAACAATTCTATTTTCTAAAAATATAAGATTTGCATATGCAGACCAAAAGAGCATATCCAAGGCTGGGCACAGTGGCTCACACCTGTAATCCCTGTGAGGCCAAAGTGGGCAGAATACTTGAGCCCAGGAGTTTGAGACCAGCCTGGACAAAATGGCAAAACACCATCTCTACTTTTTAAAATGCAAAAATTAGCAGGGTATGGTGACATGCAGCTGTAGTTCCCGCCACTCGGGAAGCTGCGTACGTAGAAGGATCATCTGAGCCCAACAGATTGAGACTGCAGTGAGCATCACTGCACACCAGCCTGGCAAGCCTGGGACACAGAG